TGTGGGGATAAGATCATGAACTTTCAACTGGGTGGAATCCCGGAAGTTTTCAGATTTGGGATTTCCACAGTTCGTTGCCAACATGTCTGTCTTATTAAATTGAAACTTTAAGGATAAGCCTTGGACTCTGATTTAATTCTGCATGATATTTGGAACGCTGACAGCTTTATTATTAAGAACATATTTAGCAATTGGTTTTATTGTGGTAAGATAGCATTACTGGATTACTATTATGCTTCTTGACAGTTTTAGAAATTTCATAAGAAAAAAAATCCATATGATACTACATGGAATGATAACAGAAAATGCAACTTTTTCAAACACAGTTATTAGCAATAGCAGTTACATAGACTTATATATCACTTTAAAGTGCTTTACAGCATTCTCTGAGTAGTTTATAACGTCAATTGCCCCCAACAATCTGGCTTTTCATTTTACCAACCTCAAAAAGGATAGAAAGCTGAGTCAACCTTGAACCAGTTAGGATCAAACTCCTGGCAGTGGGCAGAGTTAGCGTGTAATATTGCATTCTAACCACTGCGCCATGACTCAATTATTGGTTCCTTTCATTTTAGTAGTTATTTACTTAGGTACATATATATTTTCTTCCTATTTTCAATATTTTTATTAAATATTATATTATACAGATACAATTAATACAATTACATACTATAGGAATATATTAAAAATAAAAATCAAGAAAGTGCAGAAAAAGCAAAGAGAGAAAAGTTAGAAAAAGAAGCCTCCTTCATTTGCAGCAAGTCTAAACAACATTACTAATTTATCATCATCTTAAAATATCAACAAACATCTATCCCCATACCTTACATTCTCTATAAGCCCATCCCTGAAACTTCATTTCTACATATTAATCAGCAAAGGTCCAGTAAGGGTTATCAGAAACACTATGTAAGTATTATCAATTTTATCTAATACACTCAGTTTGAATCTTTCACTTTACATTTGGATCTTCATTTCTATTTAAACATATGCTGTATTTCTTCAAATATGGGTATCTGTTTGAATAGTAGAAGTTCAATTCCAATCAGAAAAAAATATTAAATATCACAAAAAATAGCAATCCATTATTTTAAAAGATTTTCAAACTTTAACAAGCAGTAAAAAAAGGAAATTCCAAAATGATTAAATAAGAGGATGTTTTTTTAAACCTTGAGACCATAAAATGGTATATCAATAACTCTGAGCTTGCTGAATCTTAGTCCCAGCTGTTTGTCATACAGTAGTTAGTACATACAGTAGCAAAATGTCAATATCTGTACGTGTTTATAAAAAAAATCCAGTTGTATTACATATGTTACATATGTTTTACATATAGGTAACCTCAATATTTTTTCTTGCTCCAGAGATAATTTTTAAAAATCCAGTTGGAGTATCCATCTGCCTTTTGACTGTAATGTCTGCCACTGTACACAGGACATCAATTCACCATTACACATTGGAACCAGCTCTATTATGTTTTTATTCCTAATGTTTTAGGAATTTGCTTCACTCTTCATACATATAATACATTATTTGTTCAATCTTTGTTTTGTATATTACACAGCGAAACAAAGATTAACACTGTATTAATTCATGCAGTTGGTTTAATAAACTTCTGTTTATTTTGGAAGCAGTGTATAAAAACTATTCATAATTTTATGTCTGTATTAGCATTATTAAATAGATGTTCTGGTTGCAATAGGAAACATGTCTTTTTGTACTTCAGACTCACCAATCTAATTTTTTGTAAGAAATTTACCAGCAAAATAAACAATGGAATAAAAATACACATATACACAAATTGGTGAATTTCAGTCTTCTCAAATATGACATGCAAGCTGCATTATATCGTAAGATGTTCATTACAGTAAATTACAGTAAATTACTTCAGCACTGAAAACTCAAGGATAAGAGATAAGGTAAATAAAACAAAGAATTCACAATGCAAGCAGATATGCAAACATCTTAGCATCTTAGTAAGACCTTAAAAATTCTACTAAAACTGACTTGTCTCAATGTCCACTAAAACAATTTAATTTTAATCTGTTTACTTTGTTGATATTAATATTTTAGCTATTTTTACTTTGTGTAATTTTAGATATTATCATATTTAATATAATTTTAGTCCTTATATTATAATTTAATATAGGCTGCACCGTGGAGCTTACAGGTATTAGTATATTTTATAAATGTATTTTAACTCTGTTTTAAATAATATTTTATTATCTGCATTGATATGTGACTGCAATAAATTTAATTGAAATAATTTCTATTTAGTAGTATAAACAATGGTCCAAATCTTGGATACATTAAACATGTTTAGAGGCTGCCAATGTAAAGGATCTACCATTGCCCCATAGTTTTATTTGCATGTTGAATTTATTTGTATTTAAATCAGGGGTGTCAAACTGGATTTTTTCAAGGAACGGATCTGTATTGTACTTCTCCTCCGTGGGCCAGTGGCGGGGACCAGGGGGAAGACAGGACAAACATCTCCTGCAGCGCCCTGCTGGCCAAAATGGGGTGCGGGTAGAATTTTACTAGCCAAAAAAGGACATGGGGGCCTGCATGTGCCCCCCTCACCTCATTTTCACCCTCCATATCTCCTGAAGGACTCTGCTGGCTGAAAATGGGCCGAAAACAGGTCTGATGGGTTCCTCGTGGGGTCTGTTTTGGTCAGTACAGTTCGCGGTCCATTTTTGGCAGCAGAGACACCGTGGGCCAGTCCTTTGATATTCCCAGGCTGGCCCTGTGAGCCAGATTTAAGCACCCTGCGGACCAGATTCAGCCTGCAGGCCTTAAATTTAGCACTCCTGATTTAAATGTCTGATGGGTCTTTTAGTGCCCGAGGCATTAGGAATTTGTGGGAGACTCCATTAACCTGCTGCTTTTCTACTGCATAATTTATATTGATATGTTATTTAAAGTAATTTATGTTAGCTTTACATTTTTCCTTATCTTTTATCCTTCCTTATATAAGTTTCTAATGTAGTTTTGGTCTTTGGCAATAAATAAAGATAATATAATATTAAGATTTTTTTCCAGGTTTTNTTCTGCAAAATGGAGTTGAGTGGTTTCTTTCTTGGTTACTGAGCGAAGCAGCCCTGACAACTTGTCTTTCCCAATCTGTGCCATTCAGATGTGTTCAATTTTGTTATTATGTTGTCTGGGGGATTATGGAAGATACAATCCAAAATTAAATATTAAGTTACACTATGCTTCAGAGAAAACCTCTGAACAGAGATAATTAAAATTTCCTCTGCAGTAGTGGCTCTAATAATGTCTCTCATAAAGAGAAATTGCTAGTAAAGAACAGAAAAGAAACTTAATTTTGGAAGGTCAAAATATTAAGAAAAGTCCCTTATTTCCTTTATAGGGTCATTATCCTTATGGAACCTTCTCTGACTGACTTTGATTTTTTTAAAATAAAAATCAAATAAAAATCATGTAGATAAGCTAATTGTCAGGGTAGATCAAAAACAAATTGGGCAATATACTATTATTATTATTATTATTTATCATGCTTATTTCACAATAAAGGTTTCATAATTAATAAAAGTATTCGAGCTTTGTATACTAAGAAGATATTTAAGAATAAAGACAACAATCTTCCAGCACCGAGAGATTTTATAATTCACAATTTTCAATTCTGATGTGTGTATGTATGTATGTGCATGCGCATGGATTCCACAAGTCTCTTCAATGCCTGTTGATATCTATATAAAAGAACACATTTTATCACATTCATCATATGACTGTGATTAAATGCACCGTCCAAATGATCTAGGCCAGGGTTGTGAAACTCCCGGCCGGCAGGCCACACTCCCACCCAATTTAGCCAAGGGAAAAAGATCCTGATGTCATGTGACACCGCTGTTTTGTTGGGAAGAATTTTAATGGCGTGTCCAATAACTTGGCTGGATGAGGAACAATACACTGAATCACTATCAAAGAAAGATACTTTAGGGGGAAAGTTCAAGTCAAGGGAATAGTGTTAGAAGCACAGAGCTCTGCTTGAAATTGGAACTCCGGTTAACAATTCTGCCTGTCCGCTAATAGTTTGGCCTATACATCTGCCATCATATACATTCCAGATTACACTAATATGCATTAAGTACAATTCTGACCTTCAGTGTAAACCAGCAGAGAAAATGGATGAATGATTTCATGGAATTTCTGCAGGGGATGAACACATTTTTCAACAGTTTCAAATGATTTCTCCTCTGCTATAATAGGACCTACTGCTCCCAAAAAGAAATTCTAGATGACAACATTTACTGAAGCTATAAAAACCAGGGTAACTGCATATAGGTGGAAAGATGATTGTACAATAAGCAAGACATTTGCATATACACTTTGACCCTTACTAGAAGCTGGCAGAAATCATATGAACCTGAAGCTAGCTCACCCTTTTAATTCAATACTAAGGTTAGCATTAAGCATTCAGTTAATCTCACCATTATAAATTAAACGTACATACCTGCATTTAATAATGGTAAATTATCTTTATTAATTATGTTTTCTGGAGATGAACATGAAGAAACCAAGGCACACTGAAAGATAAAATTAGCATAATACAGAGTAAAAATAAGAGTTATAAAGCAATCATACTATATTCAGGATAATATATTACCCTGGTTAAATACCAAAGTGCATACTGTTTCTTTACTGTTATCTTTAAAATGTTGAAAATGTTGCGAGTTTGAGTGGAAAATATGTTTAACTTCTTACAAAATGAATTAAAGGCTCTTTAGAAAAACTATTATCTTTATTCACAAGATGCTTAAGAATTATTCTTATTCCTTTGGACGATAATATCCATAATTTTTTATGTTTTTGAGCAATAGCTGGAAGCTACACAGCATCCAGAGAAGACCAATTCCTTCCATCCCAGGAAGGAGCAATACATATTATTAGACACGCTATTTTCATTTTGGTTTACTCCTTTCACCCCCTTCTCCCTCTCCCTTCCCCTCTCTTTGGCAAATTCACATATCATATTCAGCCGGCTTTTTGCTCACCAAAGAAAGTGTGCTTTGAAAGTCCTTGACTAAATAAGTAATCTAACATGTGGCCGTAGATCAATATGCTAGGCTTGATGCAATGACTTCTCTAATTAAACTGTCTCAAAATAAATTGGCTTAAAAGTAGCAAAAAGAAACATATTTGCACCCATGCAGAACTTATTGTGTCAATCCAGGAACTTTAATGTAGGGATTGAGAAAAGTAACTAGCTATAACTTTCTTGCCGTAGTGTCTGTCAATCACAGGAATGCATCTTAAAGCAATTCTTTCCTAAAATAGCAAATGCTAGAAAGCCAATTCTTAAGATTGAGGATTAAAATGCCCTCCTTTGTTTTCATAGTTCTATTCCTTGTAGAGCAAAAGTGATGGAGTATTTTAAAATATGTGAGGCTAGGATCAGTGGTGGGTTTCCATTTTTTTTACTACCAGTTTGCTTGTGAATGTGTGCTTGTGCATGATGTTTCTATGCATGCACAGAAGCTTGTGGGTGGGCGGAGTCTCCTGCCGCCACTACCGGTTCGCCCAATCCGGGCAAAATCAGGAGCAACCCACCTCTGGCTAGGATGAGCCAAAATGAGAGCAGAAGAACCATACATTCATCAATAACATGCCTTTTTATTAACAACAATAACAGCACATCTTTGAAACAATCTGCTCCATTTCTATGATAAATAGAAGTAGGGAGAAATAGGATAGCAGCCCAATTTATACTAAGCTAATTACATTTCATTTGTTTCAAAGTTATTTTCTTTTAACAATATGTTAAAATTCTATACCAGATAATAGCTTTGGATATACAATTTTGAAAGTTACACTTTTCATATAGGTTTCTGAAATAATTGATAATTCTAATTTGTGAACAGACCTGGGTTTTTACCTTTTGTTCTTTTCCATCTGTTGTGACCTGATTTGATTCCTCATCTTCAGTCTTCCCCATGTTTATAAATCTGACATCTATAGTGCCAAATGGCTTCCCACCATCTAAACTCCTGATATGGAAAACAGAAGGGAACTTCATTTACATCCTTCATAGCAGTTTCATTAACCAAATGATGGTTATTCTCTATTAAAAGCAATTAAGAACAACGCGCTGTCTTGTAATCACTGTCACAAATCATGGGATTGTTCCTTATTTCTAATGGATCCTGGCATTTAAGCAAACAGTATATCAATCATCACATTTACAATCTGAAATGCTGCAGCATATATTCATTACTTTTCTCCATAACAATTGCTGAAGCGAATAAAGCTATATGCAAAATATCCACAGAGAGCTAAAACAGATACTGTTCTTAAATATTGACCACTATAGTGAATGCAAGAAGCGTAACATCTCTTTTGTTAGCCTGTGATGTGTTGTTCCACATCACATCCAAATTTACAAGACCATTACCCTGTGTTTCACATGATATTACATTCAAGGGAAAAAATTACCGTTCTAGAATTTTGCAGATTTGATACATCTTACCTTTTCATTTATGTACTGCCAAAATAATACAATTCTGCAAATTACCATTATGATAATATATTTTCAAAAGTCACAATATGAATTCAGCATAAAAAGGATAAATATTATGGAATGAATATCAATTCGCAAAAGCCCATTAAACAACCCCATGTTGCAGCTTAACAGAAGGGCAACACAATTAGTGCCAACCTGGCTTCTGGATGAAGCTTATGACATAAAGTGGGGAGTCACCACAAAAAATACTGCTTCTAAATCCCAATTTATGCCTCTCATATATCATAAAGATTAGTTCTACCTATGGTATAAGGAACTAGAGCTATGCTGGTCAGTTGCTCTAATCAGTGACATCATCAGAGTAAAGTTAAATATCCACCTAGTGCAGATATCATCAGGTTACAAAATCTATTATATATGATAGATCTAGACCTAGGGCAGGGGTGTCAAACTCAAGGCCCCCCAGATGCTTAGATCTGACCCACGGGGCTGCCTTGGAAACAGTGAAGGATTGGCTTGCAGTGCCTCTGCCAGTGAAAGCGGAGTTCGGGAGACCTGCATGTGCCCTTCCGAGATCCATTTTTGCTGGCAGGGGGTTGCAAGAGGCTGTTGCAGCTGAAAACAGACCTCAGTAGCCCGATTTCGTTGGCAAAACACTCAGGCTGCCATAGGCGCCCCCAACCCAAGTGATATTGAGCTGGCCATGCCCCCTGAGGTCAAACACCACCCTGATGTGGCCCTCAATGAAATTGAGTTTGACACCCCTGGTCTAGTGCATGCTATTTTTCTTGTTTTTTTAAAACCAGCAGGAAAAATATAACTTTTAAAACTACAGAATAGATCCCACCCCCGCAAAAAAAACTTAAATACATGCACATATTTTGCAAATTCTCAACCATGAAACATGACCTTGAGTGTTTCAGGTGATGGATGGTATTGTTATGGACAGCTCAAACTGGAAAGAGTCTGAGCTAGAAGATGCTGCTCCTGGTGGCCCAGATGAATGCTAGAAAAAAGCTGGAAGTGCTACTCCAGAGTCCCCAGAGAATGCCATCCTCAAGGAAAACCTACCAATGAGGCATCTAAATCTGAGGGAGATAAGCAATACGCAGAGCAGCCGGCAGCATGAGGTGATAAGAGATGGAATACATGACTTTCCCTCTAGCTCAAGAACTCAAAACACCAAGCAAGCAGCACAAAGGCATTCTGTGTGACTTCTTGTCTTTTGTTATGTTTCTGAACTTGATTACCTGTGGTAATAGGCAGCTCTATTTAAGAACCATCACTGCCCAGTAAGTTTTTGTTCAGGACAACTGCTCCATTTACCCAATGCTCTGTTCATTTACTTCCTGAAAACTTGCTTGTGGAAACATTGTTTGTTTCTTACTTGTATTTGCTACTCCCAAGTAAAATCCATTTACCCACTATGGATCTGCATATGTACACGCTTGATCTGATACAGATCCTGTATCTCCAATATTAAATTTCTCTGAGAAACACTATCCGAGATCATCATATTTAAAACTATAGATCAATATTTAAAAGTCAAATATCACATCCTTTGAATGTACCATGTATCTTTTATTAACACTTATTTGTGTAATAATTCATTCTGTGCAGACTCAAAAAAATAACAAACCTCTTCTTCCAAAATTTGATTTGTTCATGATAAGAGTAATGATTTGGAGTATAGGACAAATATACCCAAATTTCCCTTGCAGATATGCTTTGTGTACCTTTGCTGTCATTGTGAAGGCATTATTCTGCTCAGTTGCAGATCTGTAGTTATAACTTTGCACACAGGAGTTTAACGTTTTTACCACTATGTGTTTTGTTTCCAAAAAGTTCAAAATGAGGTTTGCTCAATATATTCATTTTTCATTGCTTGCTACATGATTGTAGGGTCGCGTGTGTGATCATGTATTTCCAATTGAAGTTTGCACGTACTTCAAAAACAAAACAAAACCAGAAAACATTATTGCACATGATTTGTTTACCTAAAAAGATAAAAGGATAATTCAGGTATAAAGCAAAAAGAAATAGAACAAGTAATCTCCCAATGGGAGTGAATAAAATCCTCCAGCATATCAGGTAAAATTTGCATTAACTTTAAATAAAGATAGAAAAGCACCAGTCATTTGATGGCAGTTTTCTTAATTTGACAAGATTTGTAATTAACAGGAAGACCTACCTGAGGCTAAGAGTCAACTGCTGCTCTTCTGACTTCACCAACTCGCCTACTTTAAAAGTAGCAGAACCCAGGAAACTTCGCTAGAAACCAAAGGAAAGATTAGATATAGAAAGATTCACAAAACACAAAAGGGTTGTATGAGATATACAAAACACAGTGTTTCTCAAATTGTAATGGCTTCTCTTTCAGCCAAAAAAAAATATAACTTGATAACCTTTATAGCAAAAGATAAATATTAAGTAGCAAACTGAACATTTATTCACCACTGAATGTTTTCACAGATCAATGATGCTATTCTGGAACAGGAATTTCTTTTTCACTAAAAACAAAGTGAATTGACAACTTGAAAAATTGCATGCTGAAAATATAAAGCTATAAGAGAAGGTATCTTTTTAGGTCTACTTATTTTGATATCCCAGTTAAGGTTAACTGTGAAGCTGTTTGCTGCTGTCATTCATTAGTCAGACTTGCAGGGAGTATCAGTTATTTGCCAAATATGAACATATTTATTTTCCAGAGGTATTTCTACATACCGTATTTTTCAGAATATAAGATGCACCCTTTTTGCCTCAAAAAAGCTGAAAATCTGGGTGCGTCTTATAGACTAAATACAGCATTTTTTTCCTCCTTAAACCCCACCCCCTTCACCAAAATGGCTGTGCATAGCCTCTAGGAAGCTTTTAGAGAGCTCCTGGGGGCTGCGGATGGCAGAAATGAACAAAAAATGGCACTTTTTTTGCTCAATTTTACCTCTCCAGCCCCCAGGAGCACTCTATAAGCTTCCTAAAGGCTATCCATGCCCTTTTATTTACGGAAAACTGGCCCATTTTCATGAAAAACAGGCCATTTTTGGCTCATT